CCAGTGAGTGTGACCTAAATATTGCTGACCTGGCTTGATACTATGCTTATGGTAGTGAGAGAGAGTCCCACTGTTTTGGCACATGGAGAGACACAACTGCAATCTCAGAGCTGCCTCTGAATGAGCTACTAAAGCAGTGGTTTTCAACCCTAGGTGCATGCTCTAATGACCTGGGGAGTTATAAAACACAGTGATCACGGGTCACCCCCCACCACCCAGTTTTTATTTAATTGGTCTGGGGTTCATTCTGAACAACATCATTTTTTTTAAAAGATAAACAGATATTTTATTATACAACCAAGATTGAAAATCACTCTACTAAAAGATTCAGAATTCAATCTAATACTTTCATGATTTGTCATAGTAGATGTGGCTTTTGACCCTCACTTAATTTTTACACTGTTGTTTGTAGTAATGAAAAATTACACTTGCAAAAGAGTAGCAGTTACTTTTGAATACAGGATGCTGAATAACATGCATGCAGTTCTTTCCCCTTTTCCACTCAAGGAGGAGCAGTATCAAAAGGTCCACTCATTATTTTGAAATTTCCTCTCTTCACTTTGTGGGAAGGACAAATCCTTAAAATGTATCACTCCCTGCACAGCACACTTTGTTCCTGTTGTTTCATAATATTCAAAATTCAGAATGTTTCCATGACGATATCTTTTCTTTCTGTTCTACAAAGGGATCCTCTCCCCAGTTCTTGAGGCATCACAGATCCTGCTGACCTGAGGAGACCAGTGTTTCCGAAGGACTAAGCACTGGAAGGGCACTTGTCAAACTCTAATGCTAATATGGTCACTTGGGGATCTTGTTAAAATGCACATTCACATCCTCTAGGTCTAGAAGGAGACTATAGATTCTGCATTTCTCACAAGCTCCCAGGTGATGCCCACAGTGTCTCTACCTTTGCATTTGATGTTATTCATAAGGAATCGAAATTAAATAACTGATACAACTATGTCATTTATAGACTGGGCATGGTGGTTCATGCCTGTAATCCCAGCACTTTGTGAGGCCAAGGCAGGTGGATCACTTGATGTTAGGAGTTCGAGATTCAACTGGCCAGCATAATGAAACCCCATCTCTACTAAAAATACACAAAAATTAGCCAAGTGTGGTGGCAGGCACCTGTAATCCCAGCTACTCGGGAGGCTGAGGCAGGAAAATTACTTGAATCCTGGAGGCAAGGGTTGCAGTGAGCTGAGGTTGCACCACTGCACTCCAGCCTGGTCAACAGAGTAAAACTCGGCCTCCAAAAAAGAAAAAAAAAAAAAAAAGGTAAAAGCAAAAACAACTATGTCATTTATAGAAAGTTTTCATGGTGTAGGGGTGAAAGAGCAGGCCTGAGCCTCTGCAATCACTTTGATTCTCTGATGTCTCAATTTCCTTTATTAAGTGGCAAACAAATAGGTTATACTTGACTTCGGTGGCAGTTTCCAACACAAAATAGGTCTTGAAGCTGAATAACAATGGTAATATCACCACCCTATATTTAAGGCTTCAACTTGGGAGCTCAATCTAGAAGTGTGTGTCACAGACATAGTTTTCTTGAATGGGCATTTGACTTGCTGTACACATTTAATACTTGAGAATGTATTATTACGATAGGGAATTCAGTCACACTCAGCTAGATAGCCTCTTAAGATTTTCAATTTAGAAGAATTTCCTGAACATTCCTGAAGCTGAATGGCAGAGGCTGTGCTATGTTAATTTTGAAAAATAGAATCTAATTGGTTTCACAGATAAATAGGGCATTTATTATTGGATGACAGCAACTCTGACAGGGCAGTCCGCAGAGGTTTTGATGACATTTCACAACCTGCTGATTTGGAGAAGCCATCAAGAAAACATAATTCTCCAGGGCCATGAGGTGGGGTGTTGTAATCTTCACTTCATAAGCCCACATCTGAACATTTCTTCTTCATCATCTCTCCTGCAAACACCCAGCTCCTTTGAGGCTCATGGTACTTCACCATACCAAGGACAGGGACACCTCTTCCTGTCCTTACTGCTGTCCTCACTGCTGTCCTCTACTGACTTCTAGTTTATTCCTTATGACTGCACTCTCTGGCTCCAAGTATACACATGGTTGTCCTCTGTAACCCAATAGTTGTCATGTTTTTCCTGGACTTTATCATTCAAGTGGATGAACCAGTCAATGTCAGGGGCTCTTGTTTTCTTGACTTATTCACTGGAGGTAATGAATTTTTGCCTCTACCCCACCTCAGTCACTCACTTCCTGAAATCTCCAAGCACTATCTCTTGGACTTCCAATAACCTTAGTTTAAATATTCACACTGATAACTCTGAACAGCAAAAGAAATCTGATCCGCTGACCTCTACCTCCACTCCGTTAGCCTGCTCTGGTTTCTCTTTAAACTCAGACTAGATTTATAGTCACTCCCTTGAAAAGATCCTTAACTCTCTTACTCCCCATCATATCTGCTTGGCAAAACTCTAGTCCTGGAAGAACCCAGCTATCCATTTTCTCTGTCTCTGTATCCACGTTGGTGAAGGTTACTGGAGAAAAGAACCAGAAAACTGAGCTCATTAGTTTCACCTTAAATTCACAATGACCAGTTTGACCTATCAAAGACCAGTCTATCCACTTATGTCCTGGAGGGCCTCCTTTTTGCATCCCGAAGGGCTATAGTTATGGCCTCTTTCCATGACATCTCAAACTTCACAGGTTCAAACCCAAACTTTTGCCACCCAGACCTGTTCCCATTCACCTGAAAATTTGTAAATGGCACCATTACCCACCAGTTGCTCCAATCCAAAAATTGGGAGTCATTCTTGAGTCCTTGCTGTCCCTCACTTTTGACATAAAATCCTGCACCAACTCCTGTTCTCCAACATATTTCATAAATCCGTCTCCACCAATACCAGGCTAGTCCAGGTATCTATCATCTCACCTGATCTCTGCAAACATTTCCTAATGGGTCAGCATACTTTCTCTTTTGACCCTTTCCAAGCCATCCTCAACAGCAGCTAAGATCATCTTAAAATATAAATCATCATAAAATGTCTCTCGTTAAAATCAGTGCTTCTTGTACTTAGAACTACAGCCACCTTCCTATGACATAAAAGGCCCTGAATGAGTCAGTCCCTGCTTCCCTCTCTAACCTCATCTGTAGATTGTCCACCCACAGCATCCTCTTCTAAAAGGAGAAAAGAACAGCCACTTTATGTACCTTTGGAATGTTCCATATGCTGTTCCATCTCGATAGCAGAATAATTCACTCAGCCCTTGTTAAATTTATTTTGTAGTATTTTATATGATTGTTTCTTTACTGTTTACTATTTCCCCCACTGGACAATAAGCTGCATGAGAGAAGAGCCATATTTGTCTTGTCCATCACTGTCTCCACATTGTCTGGCAGTATAACTAAGGATGCAATAAAAATTTTTTGTTGTGGAATGCATCGAAAAACGTCAGGACAAAAAGACATGTAATAATTCTCTAAATCAGACTTCTCTTTTTGTTGAAAGACTTGAGGGCCCTGAAGGGGTAGGTGATTTATCAATGTTATTGTTATGTTAATATCTCAGTTACCTCAATGCCAAGGTTTCTGGCCCAGCAGGGATAACGGATCTCCTGATGTCCTATGGCCTTTATCAAACCTGCAGTCTTATTCTTTTGCATTTTTGGTGTATCCTCTTTCTTACTTTTATAATTCATTTACAATCCATTCTTTAAAATTTGTCTTCACCTGTCCTGTTTTTTCAGTATTAAAATACAACTATGCTCATTCACCACATTTTCCATAGCACCAGCACAATAAAAAGTGACTTGAATAAAGCTTTTCATTTCCTTCCTGCACAATTTGCTCAAGTTATCATTCTTGATATTGTCTCATTTCCCCTGACAGAGTGACTAGCTAAGAGGCAGAAAGTGCAGCCATCCTAATGGGAGCACATATAGTTACGCTTAAGTTCCTAAACACCCTGCAAATTATTTAGGACGACTGTTTTTGTTGTTGTTGTTGTTTGTTTGTTTTCCATTAAATAGCCTCTAAACTTTAAAGCAACTGAGAGAGACTCGGAGTAAAAAAATTATAGGGTTAAAGAAAGAAAGAAAAATAAACAGAGATCAATAAAATGAAGAAATAATAAAGTGGAGAAAAAGGATGGGGAGATGGTTTAGAAAACAAAGGTTCCAAGCAGCGGGGCTGTTAAAAGGACTAGAATCTAACTCAGGAGGATGTGGGTGGGGGTGGGGGTGGGGCAGGGGCCTGAATTCTGTTTCTCCTACAGTGATGAGCAATAATTTACCACGGCCTGGACTGCCTTTCCACCTAAAAAACTATCTGCTTGAGGAGTAAAAACTGACCCCAGCCCTTCTCCACGGGGTAGCAGAGATAATCAATGGAAATCTCCCAACAAAAATTATCTTTATCTCTCTGCTCTATTTTCAGAGCAAGATTTTTAGGGCATAATTTTCAACAAGTTTTGGCTGAGGCTGAACGCAGGGCTCAGAGATAATTTAGGACAGCCAAAGAAGAGGCCAATTACTTTCTAACACAAATGGCCTAAACACACCACGATTACATTACTGGGAAATAAACAAAATGACTGCTAGAAATACCTGTTCGCAAAGCAGCACTGCATAATCTTTCATGAAATGCCCTGCATCAACCCAAAGTGGCAGGGAGACTATGAAGGAAGCGAAAGTAACCTGCCAGTCCTTTCCCGCTGGGACACATCCTACCTGGGAAGTCTCCTGGCCTTCTTTCTCCTGGGCCCAACCTCAGGACTTCTCCGAAGCTCCAGGAGACCAAGAGGAGGAGGAGGAGGAATTAGTGAGACAGACACCCTTCACCCTTCTCACTTTCCACCTCAAGGTGCCAGGAGATCAGGGACCCCGCAGCTCAGGGCAGACACACGCAGAGGGTGCCGAATCGGGTAGGATGGATACAGCGCGTGGCGCCGACTGCATCTTGACCCTAAACTCGGCCGCCGCCACTTCCTTTCACGCTCCTCCCCGACCCGCTCACCTCCGCGTCCCCAGCGCCCTCCGCGCTGGGCAGGGGCGAGACTTGCAGCTCCCCGGGAGAGGCGCCGACTCCCCAAGGGCCCACCCGAGCGCCAGGGCCTAAGGACTGCACCTCCGACTGGTGGCTGCAGGGTGGCTGCCGCGGCGGTCGCGCTCCAGCTGCTTCCCCGCCTACCCGAGCTAGACCGCGTACAGCCGGGGAGGAGGAGGGAGGGGGGTGCGCGGAGGCCGTGCTGGCAGTGACGCGCCGCTAGGGGCTGCGCGCCTGGACGGCGCAGGGCGCCCAGGGCCCGGGGAACGCTGGCGGGAGTCGGTTAGAGCCGTGGAATGCGGGGGAGGAGTCGGGGAGCTTGGAGGGGGCGGGATGTGTGTGGAGGGAGCTGGGGAGGTCCAGGGCACCGAGGGGGGACCAGCAGTGAGTGCACGGGGGAGACCTACACGCACGGCTCGGCTGCTTTGCGCGCCCCTCTTTCGCGAGCGGCCGAGTATCAGCCCTTTGCCTGGCTACCCTGCGGGGTTCCTCCGTGGTCTTCCGGAGATTCTTTCTGAAGCAGCTCTAGAATGGTCAAGCCCATTTTTCTGCTCCATTTCTTTTTGTAACGTGGGGTCACTTTTCCGCTCTAGACGTTATTTTTCTTAAGCGACTCCCACCCCAACTCGCGCCACGGGCCCTGGTTCCCACCTCCCCAGTCTTAGTTTCTGACAGCCTCCGAGAAACGGCTCTTTTTTCTTTTGAAGTGTTCTTTTGCCTCACCTTTACCCTACCCCGAACGCCTTTTGACTGGACTTTGTCCTTGGAATTAAATGTTCCGAAATGCCCTTTCATGAAAACTCCCTCGGATAGAAGGACCCTCACAGACCACGAACTGCAGAGATTATTCTGTTGACTTTGACCTTCACTCTAGCTGGTGCCGCGCGACACTTTGGTGTGGCGTGAAGGAAGGTTAGGCTGGGAGTCACGAGACCTGTGTTCCCGGGAAAGGCATTACCTTCTGGGGCCGCAGTGGCTTTGATTGTTTCAGGGGATTCCCTAGAGCACCTTTGGTTTTGGGTTTCTGTAAATGTTCTCTCTGCAGATTCAAGTAAAGTGCCTTTTATCTTTTGTGTAGAAGGTGTCAGTAGAAGCAAGAGATCTTTATTCCCAAATATAAAATCAATTTACCAAAAATTCTCAAATTTGGGGATTTTTAAAATACATTAATAAAGTACCATTTCAACGAATTAAGTTTAAAAAGTATCACTCTAGGTGGTTTATTAACCAGACCAAAAAGAACACAAAAACCAACAACGAGAGGGGGTCTTAGATCGATCACTGGGGCACTGCACTTTCCCCTTTGTAGTCTATACACAGAGTAACCTTTGCAAATGCTGCTTTGGAAATACATTCTTTGTTTGACTTAAAATGTAACCCCTCCCCTACCGCCAAGTATTATTAAGGTTTAAAGTTTAGGCAGAAGCTAAGGTTTTAACGATGTGTCAGGTTGTGGAACCATTGACAGCTGGTGGAATACTTTCCATTTTGGTTACTGGAAACAAGTAATTAGATCTAATATCAATTTTAAAAATTTCGCTTCAACAAAACTGTCAAATAATGAGATTCGTAGAGTGTTTTCTAGTAGTTCTTCTGTAGAACTTGTGGAGAAAATTCATGAATCTTAGCAGTTAACGAAAAGTATATAGCTTTTCCATTTACTTTAAAAAAACATAGTATTATATAACTTCCCCACATGGTTGTTAAAAGAAGTTGCACTTTCTAACTTCTAAAACCATAAATTATTGTGTAAAACATGTAGGTAAGCCATATATTTGAAATTTAAAAGCTGTCTCAACACGGGCTCTGACTATTGAGAAAAAAGATAAAGTAATGTGAAATCCCTTTTCCCAAATGAGAATCAATGAGTCAACAGTTTGCAGTTTCCAGAAGTGATATCTCTTTTGCAGGCTTGAACTATTAAATAAGCAAATATCTTTGATGGAAAATCCAGTGTTACCAAATGTGCTGCAGAATACTGTTAATATTGATGCAAAGCATGATTCCTTTAACTTCTTTCCATGGTAACTAGTTTTATCACTGTTTTTCAGTGGGAGTTGCAGAGTATGAAAATGATTTTGAAAGACGTTTCCAGGTCATGAGGTGCTCTCTGAGAAATTTCTTCTGCTCCCTAAAGCAGTAAGTGACTCAACAGAAGTGAAGCAATAATTTATTAAATGGATCTCTAGTGGCCTAGAGCCATTAACACAATTTTTTCCTTTGAAGTTATTATACAATTAAATAACTTTAGAGTGGTAGTTCCCAAAATGTGTTACTTAAGGCACTAGTTTGCCCAAATGCTGCTCTAGCAATTCATTCACTACAAAAATATTTATTGAGCCCCTTCTACATGCCCTGACTGGCACTCTAGAAACAGTGGTGAAGAAGACAGATATATTTTCCCATCCTGACAGAAGTTACAGTTTGGTGAAAACGATAAATTAGTAACAAGTGCAAATACAATTTATACAGATTTATTTACACAAATAAAAGTAAGTCATGATGTAAATAGATTTTGAGATAAACAATAAGTGGAATCTCTTCATTTTTGAGATCCACAATGTATATTAATGAATTAAAGGCTCTGAAAATTCCTATAGTAAAAGGATTTTACTTAACCTGTTCCCCAAAACCCCAAATTTGCTTTGATCAAATTTGTTTTTAAGCAGTGCTTTTAATAAAATACAATGATTTTTGTGAAATGCTGGTTCGTTTTGAAATTAAAGAATTCAATAAACATAAAATTCTGTTAATATCACCTTACATTTGCCAATGTACATCCATATACTTCAATAGATTTATATATATGTAAATATAATAATTTGTTTGAAATAGACTGTGTTTGCACATGTTTATAGCAGGTCAATTCACAATTGCAAAAATGTGAAACTAGCCTAAATGCCCATTGACAGTGAGTGGGTAAAGAAAATGTAGCATATATACACCATGGAATACTACTCAGTCATAAAAATTAATGAAATAATGGCATTCTCAGCAACCTGGATAGAATTGGAGATGATTATTCTAAATGAAGTAACTCAGAGTGGAAAACTAAATATCATATGTTCTCATTCATAAGCTGAAGCTAAGCTATGAGGCCTCAAAGGCATCAGAATGATATTATGGACTTTGGAGGCTTGGGGGGAAGTGGGGTGAGGGATAAAAGACTACATATTGAGTGCAGCGTACGCTGCTCTGGTAATGGGTAAAACAAAATCTCAGAAATTACTACAAACGAATTTATCCGTGTAACAAAAAACTACCTGTTCTCCAGAAACTATTGAAATAAAAAATAAATTGTTTAAGTATGATTTAAAAATACACTGTGTTTGAACACAAAATAATGTAGAAGCATTTATAAATCTATTAAAATGACTCAATGTACATCTGTACAAAACACATATTTATAATTAACATTGTTTCATGAACATATTTCCAGAGATCAACATGGTCTAAAATCTTGTAATTCTTCATGATATCATTCATATATTGGTATAGACTAGGTTTCTTTTTCTTTTCTTTTCTTT